CACACACACTCACATGCAAACATACACAAACACACAATCACAACACACACAAACACAAACAGACACACAATCACACACAAATGCAAACACAAGCACAAACACACACACACACACACATACACACACACACAAATGTACACACAATCACACACAAATACAAGTACAAGCATGCGCACACACACACTCACATGCAAACATACACAAACACACAATCACAACACACACAAACACAGACACACAATTACACACAAATGCAAACACAAGCACAAACACACACACACAAACACACACATCAGCACAAAATCATATACAAGAAACAAAACAAAAAACAAACACACACACACAAAACCACACACAAACACATACAATCACATGCACACACAATCACACAAATACAAACACACACACACACAGGTCTGTAAGTAAATGAGTTTCACACAGACTAACAGTTTCCACAAAGCAGAAGAGCAAACAGACAGACTAAAGGCTCATCAAAGGCCAGAAACAGCTGAAGAGCAGCATCGGTGTGTCAGCGGACATAATGACCAGCATTCAGCGCTGTAAAATACCCAACCCTGAAAGATGAAAACAACACACAAAGATCTCTTTGCATAATGTCCTTGTGCAATCCAAACACACAAACACTGGAGGGGATCTGCGCCAAATAACACAAATATTTTTCACGCCTTTTCAGAGATCTCGGCTTGAGGAAAGCAGAGCACCATCGAGAAGTTTCTTGGAAATTTGGTGTGAGGGAAGGTGTGAGACTGAAAGAAATCCCATCAGCCCTGAGCGTCTTTCTCCTTCTCAGCGGGAACTGGAAAAAAAAGATGAAAGCTGCTCTGAAAAATAACCGAGATTTCTTTTTTATTGTCCAGCTATCTGAAGGTCGTGCACGATACACTATTGTGATGCTCAGTGGAGGTGAAGAGAGAGAGCCGAGTGTTGACCATCCACACATATTCCCCATTCATCTTTAGTCAATCACGTGTTTAACCAAAACTCAATCCTGAGGGGCTGATATTGATTTCAGATGTGTGAGATAGTAATGCACTTCAAAAGAAACAGTACTGGACGCTTATCCACATTTAAAAATACCACTGTCATTTACAATGAAGAATGTTTTTAGTGTGTGTATATACAGTGCATCCGGAAAGTGTTCATAGTGATTCACGGTAACACTTTATAATAACTACACACTATAAATCATTTATTAAAGGGTCACGAAACACCAAAACACATTTTTTGAGCTGTTGACAGTCGTATATGTGTCCCACACTGCTAATAACACTATTAGGACACCTATATTTCACTAAAAAGTGTAAATTGTTTGTTTTTGCGTTATTTCAAGCAAATTCGTACTTCCGGTTTGAGACGAATTTTTGAAGCTGCGTCATGGTCATGACATAATAGCGTGTATTCCAGCGTGTAGACTGGACGTCTGTGCCAGAGTGAGTCTTATTACGTCTTACAGTGTGATGCATTAATGCATGAGTAAGGCTTGGTTCAAACCAATCAGCGCGCTCTATTGTGCAACTTCATTAATATTCATTACTGTCACAGTGTAGACGACAAAGACGCCACGTTGTGTTGGCAAAACAAGCGTGAAGTGTTGCTTTTATAGTTTGCTGCAGTTAAGTTTCGTTTTCATTTTCTCTCCGTGAGAGCGCAGACTCGTGTGGATTAACAGTGTACGCGACGCTCGACAACAATAACTTACGTGTCTAAGGAGGATTATTGTTTACCTGAGAGCTGTTCTCATCTGCAAACTCTGAGATCCGGTGTAGCAGTCGATTCTGTTCCCTTCTGGAATTCCAGTTCCCCCTCCACGAAGCGTATCCGCTAACAGCGTATGCGGACACAGCCGGATTTGCGGGCACCGGATTCGCTTGTAACGTTAGTCTCCTCTAAATAAAGACGCGGCTCTAGTTGCTGGTGATTGTCCTGTCTCTACAGATTTGGTAAGTGAGCGTCCAGTGCTCTTTGTTTATTCAGTTCGTATTTTATTCGTATCAAACAAACTATTGCACCGAGTGTAAACAAGTTAGCACTAACAGTTACAACCAAACAATAACCTCGTGTTGGATTGTGTGACCGGAATAACACACGCGGCTTTCTGACGCTACCTGCCGTGTGCATCTAAGTTTCCGGGAAATGCTGAGTTTTTTTTTCTCTCATTCGCCGTGCGGTATCAAACACTGCATGAAAATACACGCTTAGAGCAGCTCCTCGAATCAAATATCTTGTTTGTCGCGAGGGACATGAATGAATTCCCTGAATGAAAGAGCCAAACTGCAGTTAAAGTCCACAATTTAATAATTTGGCAAATAATTCGACTACACATGTCCATGTAAACACAGTCACAATGTCCGCTGTGGGTGTGTGTTTTGACTCTGAAATTCAGCGCGCCCAAATAGACACTCCCACACCAAGCCTCTTTTCTTCCTCCGACACTCCCCCCTAAACAGAGCTGGACACGCCCACTTTTCTGACTTTTTCCAAACTAGAGGTGTGAAAACACCCTGCTGAAACGAGGGGGTTTCATAGCCCTTTAAGCATTAGCAAATAGTGAATTCATTACCTGTTAAGCATTAACTCTACATTAAAAAACGTTAGTAAGCAGTTTATAACTGCAGCTACAAATGCTCTATTCTTGACTTATAACCACATTTAAAATGTGCTTAATAATTGTACTTTCATACTTAGTAAATTATTTATTTTCCATCACTAAATTAAGTATCGCATTATTTACAAACCAGTTGTATTTAAGAGTAGTTGAAGGTTTTTAGGATAATTCAGAATGAGTTAGTTAATGATTAATAAACTATTGAAATCAACATTTATATATCTTATTATTCAGGCATTTATTAATGGTTACTATGTATGTTAATAAATGCTTTATTAACTCAACTTCACCTAGTTTTGTGACCTAATCTAAAGTGAGAACTGTTCATGCTTTATAAATCCTTTATAAATGACAAATAAAGGCTCTTTACTTTACTTTTACTTTACTTTCTTTATTGTCCACAGGTGGAAATTTATCTTTGGCTTCACCACACAACCACATCAGCGTTTACATTACACACATCACAGAAAAAACATTCAACACAAAAACATTCAACGTCGTCACATATTTCACATTAAAAAACACAATTTGAAACCCTACACATAATTAAAACCCAGTATTTAAAATTCTAATGGCACTTGGCACAAAGGACATTTGATACACATTTTTCTTTACTTGAGGTTGCCTAAAACGTCTTTTTGATGGCAAGAGCTGAAATTTGATATTTAAGGGATGGGAACAATCTTCAACAATGATGTGTGCTTTCTGTCTAATTCTCATTGAATAAATTTCATTTGGTTGTTTTTGCGCTTTACCTACAATTGTACTGCCAATTTTTACTACTCGACACAGTTTTTGCTTTTCCTTCATTGGCAACAGTCCATACCATGCTATCATGTTAAAACTCACAACACTTTCAACCAAGTTCTTGTATACCATCTCAAGGACATCTTGACTTACACCAAATTGTTGTAACCTCCTAATGAGGTATAATCTCTGCATTGCTTTTTTAAAAATGCACTCTGCATTTGTAGCAAATGTTAGTCCACTATCAATAAGTGTTCCTAAATATTTAAAACAGTCAAATTCTAAACAGGAAGAATGACATTATTCATTTCTCTTCATTTAAAGATACACAAATGAAACTGTACTTCAAATAAAAAAATAAATCTTTGCAACCTGATCTAAAATAAAATCACTGTAGAGTTTAAACATTACATTTTATTACATTCTTTAATTATTATATTGTTGTTTTATCCAGTTTTGTTGTATTTTGACACTCCTGTTATTCAGCAATGTTTAAACTTTACAGTAATTTTACATTCTAGAAAAGATTGCAAAGATTATTGTTCATTTGATTCTGAGCCTTTATAGGTCACAAAACTGCATGAAGTTGAGTTAATAAAGCATTAATTAACATATTAGTTAACGATTAATATATGCTTGAATAATAAGACATATAAACGTTGA